GGGCCCACTAGATAGAGCTAATCCCTATCTCCGGACCTCTAGCTCTATCTAGTGGGCCCAACTGTGTAGGAACCTGAAGACGGAGATAGAGTCCCATCTCCGAAACGTCGTTTTACGTTTTATATTTACTAGACGATGGATAATATCCAAGAAATTTTTATTCAATTGACTCTTCACCATCGTCAAGAAGTTTTAGATTTGAAATTTATTTCTTGGGTTTTTCTTCCCGTGACTTATCAGATACTCTATTCACTCTCTGTTTACTCCATTAACGTTTTTAGAATCAATATGGCTTTACCCACGTTTTTTAAAAAGCTTCGGAGTGGCGAATTTATTTCTTGTGTCGGGTATAAATACATTTTTCAAGACCACTGTCAGTTTTAGGCATTGTTAATATGCATTGCCTGACAAAAGATCCCAAAACTGTGTAACTATGTCGTGATGCGAAGATTTAATCGAAGTTGTATTAAGAATTACTTAATGTTGTGTAGCGCCGGGGACATGCGACGACTTCTCCACCTTGCATGTAAGGCTGGTAGTCTGAAATGTAGGAAACGAATATTTGTGCACACCCTGTATGAAGTAGGCTCGCGTCCAATTACAGACCGCGTGGCCGACGCGATAAAGTGTCATGGCCGACTGCGCTGCTGAGATTATTTTGTGCTATTTCTGTATCTTGAGTCCAGTATATCACGATGCTGTTCGCCGGAGACCTCTGGAGGATTCATAGACATTTGCAATGCAATGAAACACGTAAACAGTCGTGTTGAATCTATTCTTTTTTTAGTTTTAATATTTTTGCTGGGATTGGCAACGTCACCGCTAGGAGGAATTTAACGAATGTTTTCGGAATATTAATAACTGTACCCTGTCCTATAATAAAACAAATAAAAATGTCATAAATGTCTGTTATTAGTTAGGAAAGCAATCGCTGGGAATTCTACGTAGCGAATAGTTTGCGGTCATTCCAATTCACTACGTATTTTGGCAGGCTATGCGTAAATAATACATGAACTGCAATTTCCAACAAACACGCGGAATTGCTCTATGCGACCTTACATTTATTCAGTCCGTATACTCTCAAAAGTGGGAGAAACCGTCTCCTTCTTAACCCAACACAATTTGTGGTCTCAAGACGGGGTCCGTCTGTTTTCTGTTTGTATAATATACAGTGTCTTAAAAGATCAGAAACAACTTTAGTGGCAGCTTGTCAGTCATTTTCTTAACCTCTGTCAGCTGTAAGAAGCTAACAGTGGTTATTCTGAACACCTACATTAAATTCGCTAATCCACCAAGTGACAATGCTGACGTATGTAATGATTTATTTTATTAAAATTTCTTTAATTTGTTAGTTGAATGTGTGTGTACACCTTTTTTTTTGGGACACTCTGTATAACAACGTCGTGTTCGCATCTGATTTGAGTTAGCATCATTAAAGTTGTTAGCAGAAGCCTGACGTCCAGTTAGGCCACTGCATACCTCAGGTGGTTGGTCGCCGACCGATTTCTTGAAGCGGAGACCCTGGTTCGCTCCCAGGGCAGTCCTTGTGGGATTTGTGGTGGACAGAGTGGCACTGGAATGGGTTTCTCTCCGGATCCTTTGGTATTCCTCTGTCGGCATCATTCCACTCCATTCGCTCTTGTATTATTTGAGGAATGGACACTGGTCTGTTACCGCTTACATTTACACAGAGACGCAGTCTCGCCCAGTCGAAGCTGTAGAACATTCCATGCGTTACACTGATTGGTTGGTTACAGGAATAAAGTAGCACGATCATTGTTATAGTAAGAGAATTATAACATTACGTGTCTTGGATGGTACACTACGTTCCAATCTGTCCTCCATGCTGCCTAGTTAAATACTACTTACTTACAAAGGATACTAAGGCGACCCGTTCTTCAGTGACTTTGATCTATAGACAGTTGATAGGACTCCTTGGACGAGTGATCAGCCCGTCGAAAGGTCTCTACCTGTACACAGGACAACACAACACAGAAAAACGCGGACAAACATCCATGCCGTGAGTGGGATTCGAACCCACGGTCCCAGTGACCAAGCGGCACAAGGCCCACGCCTCAGACCACGCGGCCACTGTGACGGCTCTTAGTTAAATAGTGACTGGAAAAATATTTAATATTCTTCTTCAATTATCGTATCATGTGACGTTTAAAAGGTAAATATTTTATTTGTGAAGCCAATGTTCTGAGGAAGACCTTGAAGTACGTTTTATAGACCTGAGTGCCTGTATAAATATGAGCAAGGTGATGTGAAATGTATTAATGATTTTCATAATTTAATATCTTTATTGGATTTCTTTTAAATAGTTGGATAACAAAACGGTACAGTCTATTTACAGAACTTTTTCGGTTTAAGTACATTTCGAGAGACCTAGTCGTAGACGGAGGACAATATTAAAATTTTTCTTAGGGAAATACGACGCAAAGGCTTGGGTGAACTTATCTTGCTCTGTAAAGATGCAGTACGCAGTTTCTGGAGCACTAAATGAACATGTTTGTTATATGAGGGTTGAATTTCTTAACGAGCTGGGTACTTGTAAGTTTTCAAGAAACATTGTCGCTAGTAATTTACAATTCGGGTGTAGGATATTTTATTATATTTTAATGTATTTCATTCATCCACCTATGAATCCCTTCTTCCATTGATTCATTTATTTGTTAATTTATCTTATTACTGATACATTTTCTCATTGTGTCTCTATAGCCCTCATTGGTCTACTTATTCATTCATGAGATGATTTTATTTTCTATTTCTAATTTATTAATATTCATTTAGTCTTTATATTATTTACTTTACAGGATGATACAATAACAACAACAAAAACGTTCACCCACACAAAATCATGTCAAGCACGACATACATATACAGAACAACTTCGAATACGATATTAAAAAATACAATAAAATCTGGAAGAAAACTTCATTTGAAATCTGATAAACATCTGACTAAAAGTTGCATTTAAGAAATTATATTTAAGTTTATATAATTTTATACACCTGAAGATGGTTCTTTTAGAACTGAAACATGTCGTGTAAAAAGTGATGATCTAATGTAAATCGAACATTTCGATAGAGAGCATCATTTGATATATTTTTAATATTTAAATGTTAATTATGGTAATATTTTAATATTTAATAGGAATTTTATTGTGATTAGACTGATAAGATTTAAACAAATATTTATTCATTCATATAAATTTAGTCACAAATTCGTTCAGATATACATCTGTTCTTTCGGTCATGGTATCTAATTTATTTTGTTTTCCAGTCATTTATTTATGCTCAACTGATTACAGGGCATGTGTGTAAATGAAGGATGGAATGTCAGGCAGTAGCCGGGTTTCGAACCTGGATGTGGTAGACGTCCGCCACTGTGAACAGCTGGAACTGCATTTCTCTTATTACAGGACGTGGTTTGTCTTAACCCCATCCCCTTTGAAACTTGTCAGTGTCACAGCTATTCATTAGTTGGCTCAGTCCTGAGATACAATTACGAGATGAAATTAAAGCTTTGATCAGGAAATTGAATGTGTGAGGTGATAGGAAGTTGGCCTACTTAGCGACCACACACATTACCATGGCAAGTTATTTTTATTTTAGACAGGAATCAGTTTGTAGATTAAACTATCTGACCGACTTCTTAGGGATTTTTAGTCATTTATATTTCTGTTGGTATTACCTTGACAATTTCCCTCTTGTTTCTTGTTTGTGTGAGTCGTATTAACATTTAGTTATAAAATTATGTCCATTTTTCGAGATTTATTCGCATGTCTAGAGTTCAGAAAATCCACGTAGACTTTTTTTATACGTGCTGATTAACTGGAGATATTTAATTTAGATATTTTTTTCTAATAAACCCATGAATAAGAAAGTGTTCTTTATGCATAAGGCACAATCCTGCTGTGTTAATGGAACCATAACAGAGCCTGGACGTTTTAACTGGTACTCTGACTTTATAAGGAAGAGATAATCCATAATTTTCGAGAGATTATAAGGTTGATTAAACTGACTAAAGGTTTTCGTCGTTTAACTTGGTGTTTTCAAAGAAAATTCCCTTAAATTAATTTCGAAAAGGCAAAAACTTGTCTTTCACACACCATTTTTCATGTATTATTTACAACCATTCTAACAGCATGTGTTATTTAACCAGTGTAGTTGGAAAAGAGTCGTTATATTATTATCATATGAACCAAAGAACCAGTCAGGGAAAAGACTGTGGTTCGTAGTCACTCGGTAAGGAATTTACGAAGCAGAACTTAAATATTTTACGATGGGCGTGCGGTTGATATGTGACAAGATAGTACTTTCGTACACGAAAATCTCGTAAAAAGTAATATCTTTTTAAGTAATTTAAGTTGATAATATCAATATGGATTATAGGTAGATAGTTTGAGATTTCAGGTTCTTACGACGTCGATAATGAAGATGGCAGTCGTTTGGGTTGTTGCGCCGTGTATTCTGAGGGTGGAGACAGCAAGCGCCTCAGAAACGTCTGTAAACATCTATCAGGCTACACAGCGTAACCCAGAAGACAGCCATTTTCAGGTACTTTGTTGATAGGTCTTTGTGAATTAGATTGAACTGGCTTTGGATAGAGTTCAGTGTCAGAATTTTAGAATTGTGATGATGAAGTTTTTTAAGTCCGTAAAAACAGGAAATATATTGGCCCGCAAAGTCATTTTAAACTGATCATGACAGTATCAGGACGTTCATATCTGTGAAAATCGCGAATTTATAGACACGTAAAAAATTATCTGTGCGATATTTATTTGTCCAAGAGACAAAAGACGACAGATAGTATAATGCGAATCTGGATCTTATCCTGGTTATCAACAAATTTACACGTCCGTTCTCCTTGTGCAAAGGATTACCTGGGATAAAGAAACACAGTTCGCTTGCCTGGCGTTGTTCCAGCCAGCAGTAGTAATTACAACATTTCCCTCCAGGAGGTGTTGTTGCACAACAGGTAGTGGCCTTCAAACAGCGTTCGGACTATTTCCTTCACGTACCGGAGCGAGTTTATGTTGAATATAGAACGTTGCGTCATTTCCGGCGTAGTTGAAGTTCGTGAAAGCAACTTGGTGTCTGCCTTCGTCTGTTTTCCTTTCATTCTGGTTGCTGTCTACATAGCTGATTAACCGTGAAAGGTAGGCAGGTGATAATTAGTAGTAACATGATCCTTTTCTCTGTTTAAAGTTAGACCTTTTATGTTGTGTTCAAAAGGATTCTAGCGAAAACTTTACCACAAGGAATTCTGTACAAAATCAGCACGACTTGATGTTATTGGATTATGAATATTCAGTTGTCTTGTCAGTACATTGGCACAGTGTACTTGGCACCAGACTTGAGACAGTTTTTACACTTTTTCGATTTTCTGTTGGCAGTCCTGCGCAGAGAAATGCAATTACAAGGCAACTTGTATGATCCTTCCGGAATACAGAACATGCGGTTGGTTCACATGCAACTGGCGTTCTTTGTGGTGCGCTGTTTCGAATACAAATCTGTAAGCTTATGTAACGTGACACATTCGGTCAGATTAAAATGTCCGACCATTGTGATCTGATACCTGATTTTTCGAAAGATAAATCCGTGACGTAGTTGAGACGAATAAGGTAAACAAAAGAAGAAACAAAGACAAATCTATGTAGACTATTAATTTTTACGTTGATTGTAAATCAAGTGATCAATGAATTTTTAGTTTTTATGGAGTCAACACTGAAAATGTATAACATTCATGTGACGTAAAAGCTTTTGAGTCTCGCATAACATTTTAATTGCTATGTACTGTTTATAACAGTACATAAAATTACACATTTAATATTAATCTCCTATTTGTGAAGATCAGTGTTTACTAGTCAAGGTTCAAAACTGGTTTCTAAAGCTGGGGTCCCTGGTTTAAATCTCAGATGAGAAAACTGCCATTACTCGTATTTTAATCGTGGGTTTTATTCGGGAGTACCCGATTTGAATCTCGAGCTACCTTGACTGAGATTATTTGTTTTTCTCAGTTACTCCAGTTGAATACCAGAGTAATATATTTAATGTTTTTAAAATAGTCCATGGTAGCTTCTGTCCAAATTATTACCGACACATCAATTGTTATATTTTTATATAATCGATGCTGTGTAACATTTGCAGCTGAAGCATCGTTTTTTAATTACTTGAGGCTAATCAGTAACTCCGTAAGTTTTACTAAAATTTAAACGAAAACTTCCTGTTGTAGTCTGGTGATTTGCACTTACGCCTATTGAGACTGGTTCAAGTAATTATCAGTTGAACTTCTCATGATTTTTGTCGTTTTCCTCAACCGGTCCATGGAAATTCTTCGATTTAAAGAGCATCAGAACTCAAATGATACTTGCCAGCTTCACAGAAGACATTTTCTCTCTTAACTCGTAAAACCGCTAATTATGTGATCGAGTCATAATGAAGTAGGTATTTATTTATTGAAATTTTAATTTACTGTTAATTTGTATTATCATCACTGTCATCTTATCTTATTCTTGAGAAGAACATATTACGTATTGTATATATTAATCCTGTTCCAGGTGGATTTCATTGCCTGACACCAAGACTTCGTTAATTTATCGCCTCAAAGAAAAAAAAAACTAATAGATTTCTACACCAATCATGTTGTTTACATTATACAATAATTACCCTCAACAAAATTGGGAATTTTTCAAACATCTGTAACGTCTAAGTAAGATATGAGGTTTTCGAGTCGGTGAGTCTGAAGATGGTTGATTGGCAAATAAACTTATACCAGACTACACGGCGCTAAGACCCAGAAGGCAGTCATCTTCATCTATGACATCTATATATCATTTTGGTACACTCCAGTAAATAGCACGAGTGTAGCTTCCACCTCCCATAATAATAATGTTGGAAGAAAATAAGATAGTAGGTTAGGGTAGCCTCCAGTGACCTGACGTTCATACTGAATTTTTCTAAAATTTATCAAATTTCCTAAAAGTTAGAGGATTGACACACACAGAAACACATTTTTTCCCAAATAAAAACTTTTTTTCATATTAAAAATATAGGCTGAAAATATCTCGAACCTTTACCATCAAGATATTTTTTTTGACTTAAATACGTCTATAAGGAAGGGTCATTCGGCAAAAAAGTGGAACGAAAAAGTGTAACAATGGTTACCTAGGGAACGTCATGTTTACTCGGAATTGTTGTTACCTAGGAAACGTTACATTACATGACATTAAATTACATTTCATTACATTACATTTCATTACATTAAAATACATTACTTTACATTACATTCAGCTACCACAGACCCATCTTAAGCGTAACTAATTCAAGTTAAATAAGCAAAGTCTTAATCAAACTTTACGCAATTGTAAAGCATGTATAAAGGAAATATTTAGAATAAAGCCAATATATAAACTTCCTTTCCGTATAGACGTATTTACGTCTAATTCTCCGGAACCGTGGTTCCCCTGTAACTTTTTTTTTTTTGCTTTCTGTGATTGGTACGTGGCTGCCAGACAACGAACGATATGCATCTAGCCAGCAGAAATCCACGACCCTGTAAGAACCACCGTTGAACTCTGACTTATAAAACGGGAGACTAGAAGTTTTTCCCTTTGGGAGAATTTTTTCATACACCCAAGATGGAAAATGTCCGCGGGCCTTTATACAAGAAGTCCTTGAGAAAGTTCCGTTTGAAAGGAAATGTGGTTGGAAATTGGTTATGGATTTTCCCGCTGAGGTCTCTGTACTCGCTTAGTTAAGAACAATGATGGCCTCTGCCATAGTTGGACCGAACCTCAGCTTCAGTGTCGAGAGCTATCAAGACGCCTGCATATTCGTAGAGCATCCCTAATTGCGTTCTTGGTTATTTAATAACGCCTTGTCAGATGCGATCTTTATGAGTGTTTCTTCGCTAAAATTAAAGGAGCACGAAGAGACATGACTGATGCACGTGGTCATTCTCTATTTCGTGACAGATCTCTGCCTTCGCCAGTTGGCAACAGAAAACACGATGGTTCGAGTGCAGATGGAGGTGTTTTGTATCGGAATACGTGTCGAGGTCTTATCTAGTATTCTACGGAAGTTATATCGAAAGCTGCTTAATTTATGAAGAAATGTTCTCACCGTATTGTCGCGGATTTACGGACTGGATCGTGTTAATTGCCAGGCAGCCTGGAAGATCTCAGCTGACGTATAAACTGCAAGAGACAACGCGCGATCTTCCCACGTTTCGGTGGAAACAGCTCCAAAGCGTAGATTATTCTTGAAATTATTGGAAAGTCTATCATCTCGGGGCGTATATAAAAGCGTAAGACGCTGTGGTATAAAGTCAGTCGATAGTTGACTGTCAACCGGAAGTCAATATTCGTGTGCTCTCTGTTATCGACTGGTGGCACGAGACCAGAGGAGCTCTTATACGATGTAGAATAAATCGTTTGTAGCCAAATAATCAGGAATGTGATTTGTGGAGGGTCAGGCATTTATCCAGAAAGTAATCAGTTGTATTCGTGAAAGTATGAAATAAATCCGTCTTCGTAAACACGCGATTCACGTAAAGATATATGCGAATATTTTATTTCTACAACTATGCATATTCAAGAGATTTAGATTAAATTTTGTAGAAGAAAAATACTTTAAGGGTTGTCGTATGAATTTATTATAAGTTGTTATCGTCTTATTATATATACTTTATGTAAATATGAAATGGGAACTTTATAAAAAAAACTGATTATTTTATAGCAAAACGCTCACATCATTAAGTACGCGTGACCTATAAGTTTTATTATAATGGTTATTTGGCGAAATAATTATGGAGGTAAAAAGGACTTTGAAACGTCTGTAAATGTTTACTAGACTACGCAGCGTTGCAACCCAGAAGACAGTCCAAAAATTTCTCTGTATGAAGTATAATACGAGGTGCGATCGGAAAGTTTCAAGACTTCGCCTATAAAAACCCGTACACTTATCTCAGGTATTAAATTCATCCATCACCCTCGAAGTAGTTCCCCTGGGAGTGAACACAACGATCCCAGCGCCGCTGCCAAGCCTGGAAGCATCCCGGGAAATCTTTCTTTGTCAGCCTGTCAAGCACCATCTGCGATTCTGCCTGAATCTCTTCTATCGCCTCAAATCTCCTTCCCTTTAGCT